AAAAAAAAAAAAAAAAAAAAAAAGACAAAAAAAAAAAATAATAATAATCAACTTTGTTTCAAAAGTAACATCCAAGTTATTTATTATAGTTTTAAAGATTATAATTGACTTAGTATTTGTGTATGCAATGCATTCCATTACTCTACTTAAGAAAATGCCCCTTGCTACTTTATATGCTACTTCAGGGCTAAGATAATTTTGTTATTAATTTATTAATTGACATAAAAATTGTTTATATTTATGGTGTACAACATGATGCTTTGAAATATGTATACAACGGGGAATGGCTAAATGAAGCTAATTAATATATGCATTACCTCATGTATTTATCAGTTATTTGTGATGAGAACATTTAAAATCTACTCTGCCAGCAATGATTTCAAATATATAATACATTGGTATTAACTATAGTCACCATGTTGTACAATAAATCTTTTAAACTTCTTCCTTCTAATTGAAATGTATCCTTTGACCAACATCTCCCCAGCCCCTGGTACCACCGTTGTGCTCTCTGAATTCAACTATTTCGGGTTCCACGTATAAGTGAGATCATGTGGTATTTGTCATTCTGTGCTGGATTATTTCATCTAATGTAATATCCTCCAATATAACTATTATTGGTGCTTCTAGCACAGTATCTTATAATAGAAACCAAGTAATTGTTATTTTAATGAATGGATGAATAAATGAATATATATAAAATTTTAAAGGATAAAATTATTATAATGTACAACATGAAAATAAGAACATTGCGTACTGTAAAAGACACTATTTTGATAGATACCATTAAAAATATGGGCTGGTCTCATCTCTCCAATGAGACTGCATAGGCTTTGTGAGCACAGATTGAATCTTGAATTTTCTTAATCAGCATACATTAAAAGATATAATCTTGGCTAATGCTTATTGACTGCCTACTCTGCTATCATCACTGGGACATGCATTTTTCATACATGAGCACAAACTTCTCACAGCAACTTTAAAGGAAGGACTGATCCCTCCCATTTTATAAATGATGAAACTGAAGCTCGAAAAGTTAAGTGACTTGATCAAGGATGCACAAATAAAAGACGACAAAGCTGAGATACCAGCCCAATTATACATTTAGACTGCCACAAGCTCTGTCTCCCCCAGAGCTGAGCACATGCTGATTATAAAGGAAACTCTCCAGAAGTGCATGTCACATGATAGCCTTCACATGAAAATACACATGCATTCACCTCAACAAAATTAATTTGGTTTAATCACAGTTAAAAAGCAGGACTTTTCCTGTTATAGCTCCTCTAAGACATTTAAGATACTAACATTTAAACATTTTTCATTGATTCAACAGTCATTTGTTAAAGATATTGACAGCACTGTTTTTCTTGAATAAAGTGATTTTCTCACCAAAAACTGAAATAATTTAAAAATTCAAGAAAAAAATGCGTCACAGAGTAGTTATAAAATATTTCATTTAAAACAAACTATTTCTACCAATTTAGGATATATTTTTCTGCCAAATTTATCATACAAACTAAAATCATTGACAGGATTTTGTTTATTTCTCTCTACCAGCCTTATTTTTCAGCCTGAAATGGCTCAAGAGTTCTGGTATTTACTGAAATTAACTACTGAATTACCAAAACCAACTGTAATGCCAAAAATGAAACATGACCTTGGAAAGTAAGTTCTATTTAATAGATAAAATCATTTCATGCAAGAAAAAAGTTAAACTGTAGTAGTGTTGTTATAATGCACTTACTCTTTTTAAATAAGAAATAAATATATTTCTAGTAATTTTCTTTTCCAGGGAAGATTTGATATTTAAACTATTCTGTGGAAAACTTGTCAAAGAAAAACAAATCAGGTCTTAGTAAAGACTAAGACTTTTATTCAAATAGGTTAGTGTAAGTGAGAGAAAGCTTCCATCTCAGAAATCTGCAAGGGTCACCAAATCAATCAGTAAAACGTTTCCTGTTTTATAAGCTAAAGTTGAAACAAGCAGATATAAACAGAATCTCTGGAGGGAAAGCTGGACAAGCTAGGAAAAATGACCAGTGGGGTCTAACAGGAAAAGGGTCTCAATGCAGTCAGCCAACTCCCAGGAGAAGAGGAGAAGGGGGGAATGTTCCCTTTATGTGTGTGTGCTTGCTTAGGCTTGGGGACAAGCAGAGTTCAAAGGCTGGTAGGGAAGGGAAACGCCTGATAAAGTTTGGCTAAGGCAACGCAGAGGGTAAGCAATGAGCAACTGTGAGCACTTGGTCACTTGGCTAGTACCATGCTCCCTTGAGATTTCACTATTGGTATTTGGGTGGTTGAGTTTCTATTACATGTCTGGCATCAAATTTGGTGCTGGTAAATAGGGGTAAACAGGTCACAATTTCTGCTTTTAAAGAGTACATGCTCTAGTGGGCAAATCAGTGCCTTTTAGTTAATTTCTGTCCCTTAGCACACCAAAAGAGTGCTGGGTTTTTACAGTACCAGATCTTGAGCCAAAACATCACTACAAGTGATTCATTAAGGAAGTGATCCCAGAGATGTCAGTAGGATAATAGGTAAAGCAAGATAAGTAAAGGGAGGAAGTTAAGTACAGGTGTGATTCGGGGTATGGTCACAGACTGCCTGATCCTGCCAAGAGGGCTGGAACATAAGTTATGTCTCAATGCTTGGGCCAGCAAAGAAGCTGGGCCTTTGAACTCCCATGGTAGTCCCTTTAATCTTGCTAGGGATGAGACATAAACCCAGGCACTTCTGCCCTCTGTAGGGTTGAGGAGGCTCCAGAACCCAAGGAAAATCAACTGAAGGTCTCAGATGGGAGATTTAACAGCAAGCGCGCAGAAGTTGGGATATGGACAAACAGCTGGTGAAAAATCTTCTAGGGGATTAGGTGGTATACCAGCAGTGTCTGCTTCAACAAGTTATTTACAAAATTATTCATAGTTTTATATATTTTTCTTCTTTTAAATTAGATTAATATATGAAAACTACATATTAATGTTAATAATAAATATACAAAAGTTAGGTGAAAATTTTTGCCTCAACCAGTTTTATGATCACTGTTTTTTTTCATTCCACTAAAAAGGGCTAGGCTTTTCTTTTCCTTTTTAACTTATCTTGTTATTTTTGAGCATGTTTTCCTAAAACTTTGTTTTATCAAAGTCACGGTTTTATATACTTAAAAGTCATATAATATTAAAAGAGTGTCGATTACTTTTTTTTTTTTTTTTTTTTAACTAGCTTATCCCGGATTCTTTTTAATTTTGGAAGTTTGCAAGATCTTTAATTGTGTCCAGTGTCTTTAAAATTCTTAAAGATGTGTCTTCCTGTGGCTCTATTTTCATACATTTTTCTGGGTAGTTGGGGACTCTTTCAATATGGAAACTTATGACTTTCAGTTTCTGGAATCTTCTTGAATTATATCATCTTTTTGGTTTCTTTCTTTCTTCCTACATCTATGTTTGTATTTACAACTTGGGGTCTGATTTTCAAATTTTCGTTCCTTTTTGCCTTTTTCACCAATGTTTGTCTTTTTACATTCACACAGATTTACTCAATTTTATCTTCCAGTCCTTCTATTGAGTTCTCGTGTCGGCTATCAACATCCATGACTGTTTTGTTGTTGATGTTCTTTGAATGTTTCTTCTGTTTTCTGTTTTTAGGGGTTTTTTTTGTTTTTTTTTTTCTAAATAACATTCTGTTCTTGTTTCATGTTTGAGTACCTTTCTCTCATATCCCTTAAGATATGAATGGTTATGTTAAAAGGCCATGGTCTTTGTCTTTATGTGTATGTTTCAGTTGCTTTCTTTCTTATTGGAAACTTTTTCAGATGTTTGTTTGGCTCATTTTTAAGTGTGAGGCTCTAAAATGATAATTAGGAATTCTGACACCATGGATGGGCCTTATTGACTAGCTCATGTTCTTCCGTGTGCTATTCTTCATTTATTTTCATTGCTGAAAAAAAAAAAAGAAAAATGCATTGCTTTTTATTGATGGGATTTTGGCTTGTTTCTAGGTTTGGTATTTATGAAAAATATTATTTATAGCACTGTAAATGTCTTTTGTTGCACGTTTGTGCTCATTTCCATTGATTATAAATGTGGAACTGCAATATCTGTTGCATAAGGTAAGCATTTGTTTCAATTTAGTGGGTAATGACAGAGTTATAAATTGTACTTCTTTACACTCCCAATAGCCATATATGAATTGGAGTTGCTTCACATCCTCAAGAACATAGATATTTTAGGACTAATTTTAACCATTCTGGTGTGTAAGTGCTATCTCATTTTATTTTTAATTTATACTTATTTTATGATTAATGAGGTTAGTACTTTGTTATATGTTTAAAGACATTTTGACATAGTCTCTTTTGAAGTGTCTGTTCATGTCCTTTGATCATTCTTTTACTGGTTTGTCTGTATTCTTCTTTTTAATTTAAAGATCTTTATATATTTTAGATACAAACTACTGTGAATTACATATGTTGCAAATACCTTCTCTTATACTGTGGGTTGCTTTTTCAATTTCGTAGTGGGGTCTTTTAATGAAAAAATTACTTAGTTTTAATGTAGTTTATTTGATCAACCTTTTTGTTTTCTTTATTTTTTCCATACTCCTAATTCAGTAAGATCTCCTGTGATTTCTAGGAAAATGTATTATTTATAACTCTTATATTTAGATCTACCATCTATCTGGATTTGATATCTGA